GGTTTTTATTGTGTTCTGTGAATCTGGTTTCCAATTTTCTTCCTTTTTCTCCGATGTAGAATTCTGGGCAGTTATTGCATGTTATTTTGTAAATTATGTTGGTATTGTGTGATTCTAAATAATTTTTCTTTAGTAACAATTTTGATTTAGGGCCGGGTTTTTGAGAGAATTTGACATTGACAAGAATATTGTGTTTAATGGCTAGTTTTGTCCAAGTGGAGATACTTCTTGAGCTTGTTTCATAGACAAAAGGTAAACTGCAATGTAATGTTTTGTTGTTGGATTTGTTAGTATCAATTTTGTTGAGTTTTGTTGTGGTGAATGTTGGAGAGTTTTTCAACAATAGCTGGTGGAAACTTGTTGGTGTGAATGAAGGAATGCTTTATGTGGTTGATTTCTTCATTTATGTAGTCCGTTGAACAGAGTCTTGTGGCTGTGCTTATGAGGTTTTTGAATGTATTGATTTTTTTGTGTGGTGTCATGAGTGGTATTCCAGGGGATGTAGAGGCCGGTGTGTGTGTTCTTACGGTGAGTTTTGGTTTTAAATTGTGTCCGATCTAATAATGTTGAGGTTAAGAAAAGATAACTATTTATTGTTTTTGTGTTCTATAGTAAATTTGATATTGGGATGAATGGAATTTATGTGTTCAAAGAAAGTTAGTGTGTGTTCTGTAGAAGTGAAACCAGCAAAAGTGTCATTGACATATCTGTACCAGTATAGTGGGAGATGAAGTGCAGAATGTATGGTTTGTGTTTCAATCTGGGTCATAAATATATTGGCAATAATAGGCCCATACTTAAACCATCTATTTGAAGGAAATGTTCGTTGTTGAAAATGAAGTTGGTTTTAGTTGTTGTAAATTCTAAGAGAGAAGCAAAAAGTGTGCTGGGGATGTGGATTACCTTGTTGGGGTCATTGATGTAGAGGTCGAGTGCAATATTACAAGCTTCATTGGCGGGGTGTCTTTAGATATTGTATCTTTATTAATTTCAGTCCCTGTGGCTGAGGCCATTAGCCATTTTGAAAACAGATTAAATAAGAATCTTTTTTCTTATGGTAGGCTATTCTGTCACAGTATGTGTGTGTGAGAGGGTACACAGTTAGGAAGAATCAGTTCATGCCCTTAAATATATAAACTCTCCTCAGTGACTCGCATATACCCTCTTTTGATTTTTCTGTCTCTCTCTCTCTTCACATATACTGTATAATATTTTTGAGTTGGTGAGAATAATGCCCAGTGAAAGATGGTTTATTTGGGAAGGCTACACACACCCCTTGCTTAACAAAACTTGTATTATGTTTCATTTTTGCAAATAAATAATTACATTCTCAAATTGAAGGATTGGCTATGGAAACTCCCTTTTCCCCACTACTCTGCAACATTCTTATGTATCATTTTGAAACCATTGTTCTCCCCAAATTGTCACTTAAACCCAAAATTTGGTTGAGATATGTGGACAATAGGTTTATAGTGTGGAGTCATGTTAATAATAAGTTAAATAAATTTTTACACCAATTAAATAATTTGCAGGATAGCACTTAATTTACAATTGAAAATGAACAAAATAACCATCTGACATTTTTAGATGTTTTGGTAACTAGAAACTCCAATTTGTTTGGAAGCCTTTTGCAGTCACCAAAGATGTTTTTTTCCATACTCTAGCTTACAGAGCATTTCGTCCAACGATGTTGACTTTTTTCATAAAATTAACCATCTTAAACATATGGCCATAGATAGAGGATGCAACCCAATAATCGCTGATAAAGCTGTTAACAAGATATCTTGTAAAAAAAATTGTCTAACCTCACAAATTTCACCTGTTTATACAAAAAATAACTATAGAAGTGGGTTTATAGTTTACAATATCATATCTAAAATTATAATATCATATATTATTAGAACTATAAAAACAAAAGTTTAAAGGTTGGGTGATAATTTTTTCTTGTTAATCATGAGAAGTTATAACAACATTTACTTACATGTATCAATACTTGTTTGAATTAAAAATGATGAAAGAAAGTAAGAGCCTATGGAATTACATTTACCACCATTATATAATTCATATAATGCAAAAATACAAGTTTTCTTTAGAATATATGATGCATTTGAAACAAAAAAACTGTTAGTTTTATGTTTTAAAGATATATCCTTATAAATTGGGGTCTCCTTTTATTGTTTGTCAGTATTTATCCTTAAAAACTATTTTTGTTATGTGAAAAGTTAATTTCTAATATTATACATTATCATTTTTGTATCTAGTTTTTTTTATTTAAATAATTGATGCATGCAAGAAAATCAAAAAGTTCAGAACACTGTAAAAATTTTGCATCCAGTTCTTATACAGTCATTATTGCACATAATGATTTTGGACAAGATTGAAAATTAGCTGTAAGAACAAAAAAAAAAAAGGAAAGATGTTAACATTGTTTTAAACTTTTGCATTAATTTTAGTCTTGTTTACTGAAATTAAAAAAACATTACTATTTAAGATTAATCCAAATACTACTGAATAAGCCATCCAACAGTTTTGTTATTTGCTGATTAAGCACATATAGTTAATGTTCTGGATGTTATATTTGTTTTCCAGTGGACTTGAAAGATATAGTAGAAACTATGACAGATCTTGGAACGACACGTTTTGTAGAGCTTGCTGCAAGAATTGGGTTGGAGCCAAAATTACGAGAAGACAATTTCACCATTTTTTGTCCATCTAATGAGGCACTGATAGACTATGAAGAAGATACTGTTAGTGTAAGCATTAGTTTCTAACAGTTAACCTTCATCTTAATAGATTGTGGAATGAAAATTTGGTTAGGAAAACTCACAATTTTGGATTCCTCCTCAATCCTTTCTTACCTTCAGGTGAAAAAAAAGAATTGTGGAATGCCATCTTTCTTGCACTGCCACAGTGATGGATGATGCAATTTTGAACAACTATATTTACGTCAATGCAGTATTTTAAGTAAACCTATTTGTGTAGGGCTAGATGAATTCTTCTTCATCATAATATACTTGTGTTAGTAAAATTTAGTAGCCATTATTTGTTTTATTGGTCAAATTAAATGTGGAAACATCTAGTTCTGTTTACCACTTGATGACTGCTTGGAATATGTTAGTTGTTCGGTAGAACTAGAAATTTCAAAGCATTATTGTAAGTAACTGTTCGTGTTTATGTGTAGCCTTGTATAGCTAAACTGTAGTTATCAATTAGATGATAATTATTGTACAATTATTTTATAGGTTGCAATATATATTTATAGTTAATCTAAACATATTGTTACGTCACCATTTGTTAATTGATTTTTCCGTAACTTCGTTCCAACGAAACTTTAACGACACAAGTCTTTACTTAATAAAACTGGTTTATTCTTTCCGAAC